CTGGGGTTCCAGAGATACTGTGGGGTATCTCCTCTTGCCTGAACTGTCTAATAATAGAAGATAATCCCTGCTGTCCTTCCTGCAGCCCATGACAGACCTGGACACAAAGATCCAAGAAAAGGCCATGAAGGTGGACATGGACATCTGCCGCCGAATCGATATCACGGCCAAGCTGTGCGATGTCGCGCAGCAGCGCAACTCGGAAGACGTTTCCAAGATTTTCCAGGTGATCAGGCCCTGAATTCCCCACAGGGCAGGGCAGGGCAGGAGGGAGCAGTGCTGAGCAGTGTGGTCCAGCTCATTTGCCTTTTCTTGAGCTCTCTCTCTCTGTGGCTGTGTTTCCCCCGCTGGCTGTCAGGGCAGCTCTGCTGCAGCACCAGGAGCACAAAGTGCACAGAGTTGGACAAAAAACCAGTCCCAGGATGATCTTTAAGCTGTGCTGTGAGCCTGATGTTAGTCTGTACTGAATGCAGGGAAAAAAAAGCAAAAAAGCAGTGTTGCAGGTTTAGGTTTGTGTAATTCCTCCCTCCCATTTGTTCCCTTCACAAGTGACAGGTTTTAAGCTCATGGAGCTGTCATCTGCATGTTCTTATTTCTGGCTCGAGCTCTGTGGCCAGAAATAACATTTGTGTGATGGTGAGCTCTGGCTGCTCCAGCTGCTTTCCTTGGAGCTCCTTGGGGCTCGAAGGAAAGTCCTTCAATTTGCTCCCAAAGGAGCAGTGGCAGCTCTGCTGGACCAGGGCTGTCCCTCCCAGTGCAGCTGGTCTTGTCACAGCTGCAGCTCCAGCTCTGACTGACCCACCTTCCTTCTGCTTCCATCTCACTGTGTCTTGCTCAGGCTTGCAGTAAATCTGATGCTTTTTCTGTGTGTAGTGATAGCACACAGTGTGCTAAGTGCTGTCAGAAACACTGTAAAAGATCCTTGAGGGCTCTGCTGGTGAAGCTGTGAAATGTTTGATGGTTTTCCCCTTTGTGTTCCCCAAAAGACTCAAACCTCCTCAGAGGAGCATTATTTCTCAGGCAAGTTGAGCCACTGTATGGTGCCAGTGCCTTCTCCTTGTCTCTGGGGGGAATTGCTGAGCCTTTGTGCTCAGAGGTGAGTGCAGAGCACACTCCTGCCCAGGCCTGCAGGGTTAAAATGACCCGGAGAGCAAGGCCAGCAAGGGATGGTCTGTGTGCCAAGGAGAGGGAAAACTGCTGTAGGGTGGGAGGGGATTGTGTGTTTGAGGTTCTGGCACCAGCTGTGCATCCTGTGTGTTCCCAAACCTCTGGGATCATCCTGTGTGTCCCCATTTCTCTGGGATCATTCTGTGTGTTCCCAACCCTCTGGGATCCTCTGGGAT